ATGCAAGTATTGAAGAGATGGTGAACTGATGACGAGATCAAAAGTTTAAAACAGAAGTACCAGGAAACAACAGAGTCTTTATGTCTATGGTACCGCAGGTTTCTATGCTTCAAGCGTGTGGTCATGACTTTTAGTTCACAACTAGTTAATGTTTCCTGCGTGTTTGAACTTTGCAGTGGCTTTGGGTCAAATCCCTTTGCCTGTGAGATTGAGTGAGCAAATCACAAGGTGTGGGGAGTCTATCAGCATGGAAGTTATGACTACTGGATGCTCCGGTGTCAGTTCAACAATTGACAAACTTGATTCTTTCTATACACTATATCAAAGAACAGGAAACAGAGAATTTCATGAATATGGAGTTTGCTACAAGAACAGAAATGTGAAAATTCACGTATGTAAAAAGAAAAATTGTCCAAAAACAATGAAAGACATGACAAGGTAACTAAGTAGTATATATTCCGAGTTCTCTAGAAATCTCCGTGAGTATCACAATGTCTACCAGATCCCTTTTCAACTGAAAGAACTGTAGGAACTAAATGGTGATCATAACTCGTCTCAGGGATAGCCATTGCTCCATACTGAAGAAAGAAAAACAAGAGATAGAAAATCAATATTAGTATTGTGAGAGTAGTTGAACAAATTGAGTTTGATGACAACATACCCCATTTCCACAAGTCCTCAACACCCTATCTAAGGCTGCTTGTGCGCCTTCCATCGAGCTATCATAGAAATCAATCAATCAATAATATCAGCAAACCAAATTACTTGATTGAGGAAAGTGTAATATGATGACTCACAACTTGAGGTTTTCACCATTGCCGGTGTAAACATGAATCTAGAAAAGGAAGAAAAGAAAAAATGAAAAAGTCATCAGGTTAATTTTCGGATCATTTCACAACGCAGAATTTTTGTCAGATGATTGTACCTGACATGAACCACATGATTTTTGATTGTCGGGTTTGTCTTGACTGACGAAGCCATGGTGGTCTGTGTGATAGGTAGACAAGGCACTATAAATCGAATTTTGAAAGATTACATATTCAGAAAGCAGAAAAAATTATGAATCAGAAGAGAATCTAGGATAAATCAAACAATTAAGTGCTGCAGAAAATTACTTGGTACAGTCCTCAATGGTCACCGCGCCGGGTTGTCGACAATTGGAAACTGCCACAGTCATTGCAGATACGGAATAAGTCATGATCACAAATAAGACTAAGCTTTTAATTGAAGTAAGCATGATTGAAGATGGGATGCGTAGAATTGGAAGCAGAAGAATTAAAATTTAACAGATGGTTATATAAATTGGTAAGTATTGAATGATATGTTTGCTGATGAGGGGTGATTGGAATGATGAGGAGGGCCGTTTGAAGCGACCTTTATAGCTAAAGAAATGCTTTGAAGTCGTAGAAATCCTCAGCAAAAATTTAGTATCTCATCCCCCCGCGTCATATGATCTGCTCTGAGCACATCCGATCCAAAGTGAGAGGCGATGCAGACAATGTTGCATCTGAAATCATACCCATTCCCAATATATGCATTTGATATCTTTACCGTTCCCAATGAAGGTAAACATTTCCAAATTGATGAATTTTGTTATGGAAAATCTTTACATATTCAAATACTTTTGTTTATTAAAGTTGCGCTCTGTTTTGTGCTTTGTTTTTTCTCTCTTTTGAGTCTCTAAATTCCTTTTGTCAAAGCTTTTCACTTATATCATGGAGTTCTTTTATTTTTCATTTACACCCTTCAATCATTTCACTCTATACCTCTTAACAACCTTCCGATCACCACAACACCCATAGGAGGAGTCAGTGACCTAGGTATGATATTTGTATATTTGAAGCATTAAAACTCCGAATTATTGATAAATCTCCTACAGCCCTGTGTTGTGCTGCAATCACCGAATACAAACCTGTGTTGGCCTTGTTTACTCATGCCCAACCAAATGTTACGATTTCTCTGTGCACTAATTCTTCTTGTTTAGTTGTTCTGTTCTTGTGTTGTTCGTGTTGCTGCAATAAAGACGCTTAGTTCTCAAATTGTTGCAGACGACATTCTGCAAAAATTGAAACTCCAGTTCTCGCTCCGCGCGGGTCTCGATTGAGAAGGAGCTCAGCTAGGAGATCATTAATGCGAAGTTGAGATTTAAATAGATTTAAACTGCACCCGGTAAATCGGAACATGGCAGTGCACGACGTACACAGTTACAGCCACCAAACCTCACCAAAACATGAAAGCTATTTAGGATATCCCATGAATTCATCCAAGGCCTGCGAGGTCAAAATCTAGATGGCGATGCACACATGCCATCGCCATACAAAGCTTTTCTCGATAACTTACTCTATCATCAACAAAAGGATGTACCAACTCAAATTCAGAGATATTCAATTCTCTCAATTGCCCAGAATCCAGATCAGCTTTAGGGCTTGAGGATCTTATATGAACAATGAACGCACAGCAACCAACTTAACAATATTACTTATCCACTTTACTATCTACTTCTAAAATAAATCCAAAATAAATCCAATCAAAAGACGACAAAGTAAACCTCAAAATCAATTACAAAATGTAATACACACACACAACATTTTATTCTTATAAATTATCAAAAAAAAGCTTTTCCTATATAAACAAAAACAAAAACAAAAAAACCGAATAAAATATTCCCAAAGAGAAAAGAAACCTAATATAAATCAAGATTTTCCAACGATTTTTTTATTTTTCAATTTAGCCAAACCCAATGCTCCAGCTTCACCGATTTTTTCTTCTTTACTTTTACTTTTACCATTCTCATTACTCTCCATTTGATTTTCTTTTTCTTTTTCTTCAATAGTCTTTTGTTTATTTAATTTCTTTCCAATTTGTTGTTGATAAGTAATCGAACTAGATTTAGATGGTCCAATCGTTTTTCTATCTTCACGTCCCATATCAACTTTTAATCCCATTTGTCTTTCTGATAATTTATTAATCTGTTTCGTATTATAATATCCCTATTTGATTCAAACAACATATCATTTTGTTTCATCAGTTTTTTTTCCTGTAAACAATTCAAAAAAAAGGTAATGAGGGTAAAAAAAACTTACATCTAAATCCGAATGTTTAAATTCTAAAGGATTTATCATTCGAGTTTTTGAAAGTGGATCGTTGATTCTCATATTGATATTCATCAATTCAATCGGACTACTATCTTTTTCAAATCTATATTCTTCTTTAATCTCTATCTCTTCTTCTTCAATTTCTTCTTCTTCTTCCTCCTGTTTCTGTGTTTGTGAAAGAACCATTTTTGAAATAAAGAGATAAAAAAAATCATTTAAAAGCATTGGTCAGATCAAATTGAATTCACATCTTTCCCATAAAACTCAAGCCACAGTGAACTATCAAGACAACTCCAAATTGACTGATCCACTCTTTGAAAAAACTTGAAGAAAAAAAACTGACTCTATATCTTTCAATAGCTGATAACCCAGGATCTCGACCCTGAATCTCAGATTTGATCACCACAGATTTTCTTTCAATTCTCATTTCCTCATCTTCCTCATCTTCACCTTCATTTTCTGATCCTTGTTCATCTGCTTCTTGGTTTTGAAGAAAAGAGACATCATCATCTTCTACCATTGTAGTTTCTTCATAAGATTTATAAAACGATTCATGTTTTTTGCCTGATCAAGATTTCCACCAAACCAAAATCAAATCAGTATCCTACTTCATACACTTTTGAATCACAAATCAAAAACGATTGATGATCATCAAGCTTACCTAACTCATGAATCGCACGTTTCTTTTTCTTTTTCAATTGTTCCTGAAACCTTTGTTGAGCCTTGACATTTTCAATCTCATCATCATCTTCAGACTCAGATTCCGAAATCCCACCCCCATGTACTCCAGCCTGTTTTTTCCTCAACTTACCTTCGATAACCTTTTCGATATCTCGTTGTTGTTTTTCTTCTAATTGTTTTTGTTGTAATTTTAATAATTCTTCCAAGGCTTCTTCTCCTTCTAATTTGGTATTTTCATCTCTTTCATCTTCTTTATCATCTACTAATGCTTCATAAATCGATCTGGCCGCTTCTGAATCTCCATCTGAATCTGAATCGGATCCTCCTCCTGTGTCTCCTCCAAAAGCTCCTTCTTCGTCTGATTCATCTGCTTGATCTGCCATGAAGTTTTTGAGATTCAGTTTCCTGGATTTCTTGACTTTAGTCGATTCTTGTACCACCGTTTCTGCCTCTACAGTATGTTTCTTCATCAACACCGAAAATGCATCAACTGTTTTCCCTTTGCCTATCTCTTCCTGTTCTTCCTGTTCTTCTGCTTCGTCATCATCGTCATCTGCAAGTACGATCCTACCTACTTTCCTTTGAACACCACTTGTAGTAATAGGAGAACCTTCTCGATCATCACCATGTCGTTCAATAACTCTTGGTAAAGATGGTGAACCTTCAATCACCAATTCTTTTCGTAAAGCAAATGGAGTTCTGGCAGCTACACAATCTTGTGAAAAGAGTGGCGAATCTGGTGGTAGTTGACCGTGTGATGGCTTATTCTGTGTCAATAGTCTAAAAAGAAATAAATTGAATCGTTAAGAAAACATTGAAAATTTCAAGAAGACGTGAACTAATCAAAAATGACTCACCCTCGATCATTGATATACTGAGCTGGTTCTAAATCTCCTACAGCTTCATCTTTTTGTCCTCCTAACATCATTATCATCATGTCCCTTTCTCTTTCTTCAGGTAAAACATTCACTTCAGGTAACACACAAGTTGGTGCAAATCCATCTTCATCTTCTTCACTGATACCATTCTCTTTATTCTGTTTCAATAAGCCGATAGGTGGTTGACTTATACTACCTTCAGCTTCGAATAGTTGAGTAAAATTAGTTTGAGATTGTTCGGCTGTCGGGTTGAGTTTCTTAGTGGTAGTAGTAGATCTACCAAAGCCGGGTAAACAATCTTCATTCTCTTCAAACCCAGGTAAAGGTGATGGATTATCATCAAGATCAAGAGTATTGGTAACGAGCTCTTGAGGACAAGAGGAAACTGCTCTAAAGCCTGTCAAATCTATCGGGGTAGCGCTTTTGAGTGACATTGCTTCTGGTTCAGGAGATTCGATCACCCGTAGCTGTCGTCGTTTGGTAACTTCGGCAGGAAGCTCATCATCAATGTCCATATCACGAACAACTTGTCCACCACTGGGCATATCTTCTTCCATCTTATCCTCCTCCTCCTCTTCTTCTTCTTGTGCTTCGTCTTCCACTGAACCCACCTCACTACCACTTCCCAATTCATCACCCTCTTCATCGTCATGGTCACCATTCCAATCCTCATCGTCCTCTTCCTCATCATCCTTCTCGTTCATCTCAACATCATCATCATCCTTCTTCTTCAAGATATCCTTGATATTCAATTCCACAGCAGCCACAGGTTTCTTCGAGACACTAGCCGATTTAAGACCAGTGTGGTCAATGAATTCTTGCTCTTTCCGTTTACGTTCCCTAGCACTGTCTAAAGCAGATCGAGTTTTCAAATCTTCCATAAATGTAAGATTATGATCCGTCCTACGATCTGAAGTCTTAGCTGAAACACTTCTTTCGGGTCCTGCTTGATGTGTTGAAAGTCTAAGCGAGGAGCGTGAAACAACAGGTTTGATAGCTGATCTAACTCGCTTCAAGGCTGTTGGAGCACGAGAGGTCATAGTGCTTTTGGATGGGAAATCTACCACTTCTAAATCTGAATCTGAGTTATTATCTTCAACTTCCTGTTCTTTTCCTTTGCCTTTCTTATCATTCTTTTTCGGTTGTTCTTCTATTGGTTCAGTTTGTTTCGCTAAGAGTTCTTTTTTTCGAGTTTCTAAAAGTTTAAGCTTGTTCGAAGTCCGGGAAGGAAGTTTGAGTGGTTCTGCAAAAACTTGATCGAGATCTGGTAAGTCGTCTTCATCGTCGTCTGGGACTGGACCATCAGTCTTTTCAATGGTTTCTAGACTTGAAGTGGATGCTTTCTTAGATGACTCTTGGATTGGCTCTGTAGGAAGAGATTGGTGGTTGTTCGATGTCCTATGAAATAGAGTATCGCTAGTATAAGCAAAATGAATGGAAACGGAAAAACAAGACTATACTGACTTCTTAGGTTGGGCGAGTTTCGAAAAGATGGCATCTAGTGAGGTACTAGGCTGTTTACAAGCGCCAACAAGTTTGACGTCTTTCTCTGTAAAACAAGAGAGAAAAAGATTAGCAATTCAATGCAAAATTGTAAAAATTTTGTATCTTGTTCGACTCGAATGACTGATGATTTTGAAACTTACTACGTGTCAAAGCGGCCAGATGTCGATCCATCTCTTCCTTTGCTCGTTTGTTAAGACCCTAACCGAAAAATCGAAAAAGGGTCCATCAATAACCTTTTTCGTGTATCGATTCAAAAGAAAGTCATACCTTGGCTTTCTTAGTCTTGAGTTTCTTATTTTTAGGCGTTTCAGCTTCTGATTCACTCCCACTGACCAACCTCCTCTTACCAGACTGATTTTCTGTACTTTCTTCTTCTCCCGGTGTATCACAATCGGCTTGAAGAGAAGCCTCAGCTTCAGCGATTGCGCGTCCCCCCCCCCTCTTCATCAATATAAGTAGGATCAAAATTCAGGTAAAAAGTCATCGTCATCTTGACGCTGAGGATCCAGTGTTGGGGAGGGGGACTAATAGCTTTGGTATTAGGTTTAGGCAGTAATTGATCTTCTTCATCTTCATCATCTGAGTTACTAATTCGGATTCTATTTCGCGTATGATTTTGTTCTTTTTCGACGGGAGGTCTAAGTAATGATGGAGACAAATCAGGCGGAGTAAAAGGACCATGACTAGAAGGAGAACCAGTAAGGGCAGCAATTGATTTTGAAATTGAAGTAGGTGGTTGAGTAGTAAAATTACTTTGTGATGAACATAATCGATTCATTGTGGATCCAGTTTGATCATGAGTTGTAGAAACAGTAGGAGAAAGTTGAACTTCTCCTTGTGATGATGGTATGGGTGGTAATTGATCATCATCTAAATTATCTATTTCTGCTAATTGATCTTGAAGACTTTTACGATTGAGGAAAGGTAAAGGAGAAGTCGGATTTGATTCTTCTGATTGTTCTGATTGATTTTGATTGATGATTTGAATCGGTGGTTCACGAGGTATTCCATAAACTGTTTTAGCTCTTTTGATAATATGATTGGGTGATGTTGGTGACATTTTGTTGTTTTCTGATTTAGTTGAGAATGAGAATGAGAAATTGAAAGGCTAACTTGAGTGAGAATGAGTTCAGATTGGGTTTTTGTAAACTGATCAACTTCTCGGATTCTCTTGACGCGACGCGACCCGGGTCCCGACTCACTCTCTTTCTGGTACCGTGACATGTCTCAACCCATCGAGTCACCTGCCACTGCCAGACTCCAGTCACAATTGTCATAGCGCACTCGTCACTCATCAGCATTTTAATATGCCACCATCAACAAAACCATTGTATCATCCGTATCATCCGTATTCAAGAGTGGAACTTCAGCGCAAGAAAACGTGCAAGGTCATACAATCAATCTCTACAGCGACAAGTTTATGAAATAAGAAAGTTTAGCAACATTTGACTTGAATTCGAGCACAAGATTCCCTTCAAGAATGTGTGTATGATCTCAATCCAAAAATGAAACATGACGATCACAAAGTGAGGACCATACAATCAGGCCTTGCGTATTGTCCACCTCGTTTCTCACATATCTCAATCATATAGAGCCACTAGCGGAACATGAGGCTATTGACAATACTAAAAATCACGACATTGTAGAGATGCAAGGACCGAGCAGATGTGTATGTACGCACTTCGACAATCGATTTTTAAAGGTGATGATGATCTGGTGTGATTGCTTAGACTAACAAGGTTGAGGGAAAGTTGAAAGTGATCGATGGATTGTGTCATTATCGAGTCTAGACTCAGTGTATGAGATGAGCCACTTTTCAGGTCAACTCGTCACAATCTTCAAGTCCATATCGAGAAGATCAGTGTCAACATTCAGTTATGTGTATCGTCGTCTGCATGAGTTTCATTTGTGCAGGAGGTTCATCATTCAAAAATGCCATGACTTGAACATGAGCTTTTTACGAAACGTGTGGTGACGTGTGTGACCATGATGAAGAACAGTCTAGGGATGACGAATCACACTACTGCGGTCTCAAGACTTTGAAAGCAAGTCGCTAGGGAATATAAACCCAATCCAGAGTTCTTAATTTGGACTGACTGGCTCACGACATCTTTCAAAAGTAAAATGTCATTGGTTTTAGCTTGTGTGAAGGATGTATACGTTTAGCTAGATAGTATGGAAGTCAAAGACTTTGGCCCCTTGATCGTAAAATGGACATGGCGATCGCTGGATCTCAGGGTTTCATGACGAAAAGTTCACTCTTGCGAGAGTCAACTTGTTATTCGCCCCTTGCAAGGGTTGTGGGTTGGTTGTAAGGATAAGTGGAAATATTTGCTTGGATGAATCGGTGGGATCGAAGGCCTAAATGGAAATAATCTCACTCACTACAAGAGAAAAATGGTGAACACAAGTCTGTTTCAAATGATGATACTGAGTAGATCAAGTTGATGATGCCAGATCTCAAATCTTCACCCTCTGCTACTATGATAATCAATTTCTTCACCATCGATACGACTGCGGCTCATCCAGTGGAACTTGAAACTACCAGACGGTTTCGTGAGCTGAATGCGTCGGATCATACTTCGAGCTCATGACTTCGAGCATGCCCAGACTCCAGATGGACTTCGTACGCGAAGAGAACAAACAGTCGTGAAGGTCGAGCATAAAATGCAGCCTTCGAGTCACCTTTCTCGCTTCATCTCAAGGCCTCCTCAGATATTTATGCGTTGTTGATTCTAGTAGCGCTTTGAATCATTTATCGAACTTCCTCATCAAGAATAACTTGTCATCAACTCTCCGTTTAAGTTTCAACAGTCAAAGGTGCGTGATGCGCCATAATTAAATCTCTGCCTATCTGAAAGCGTATGATGTTGAGGTCCTAAGCTCATTGTCGTGTTACTATTTCTTTTGTTTGAATGGCTGGGTTATCAAAGACAATATGAAGTCTCTTAACCTTGCAATTACCCTCTGTATTTACTTCGCCCGCTTAGAAGGGCTACTTACGCTCCCATCATCGCAACCCAATCAAGAAGGTAAAGTGGGCGAGAAAGCTTGGAATGGATTGGAAGGATTAGGTGGGTCTGGTTTGAGTGGTTTGGGCGGTAACTTTTTGGGTTCAGGTGGATCAGGAAGTGGGGGCTCCGGCCTCGGAGCTTTGGGTGGTATGTTGGGTGGAAGCTCTGTAGACAACAGTGGTGGAGGGGGATGTTCCAAGTACAAAATCATAAGGTGAGAGTCTTGCATCATTTCATCTTCTTCATCGTGTCTTTATCAGAGCCTCCCTCCTCTTTTCTTGTTACCTCGATCATTCATGACTTTCTTATGGACGAACTTTAACATTCGATCTTCTCCTACCTTTTTGTTTTGTCTACAGTGCCAGAGGAACTGGAGAGAATCAAGTCAGCCCTACGGGATGTCGTGGATTTATCAACGGAGTTCTATCTGCTGTTCCTGGCGGTGCAGTCTATGAGGTCCATTATCCAGCAACAGTGGACTATATGACTGGACCAGGTCAAGGAGCTTCTGATGCGATTCGATATATATCTGATCAGCAAAAGAAGTGTCCCGAGCAACTTTACGTTTTAATTGGCTACTCTGAAGGTGTACGTGAACTTTAGCTCTCTCTCTCTCTCTCTCTGGAACCTTATTCTTTTATTCATCATCTTTCCTAATTCCTTTCTTGTTCGCGATCATAGGCCATGGTAGTAACTCAGACAATGAACAAGATTTCAGATTCTTCATCCTCGATCGCTGCAATTGTCTTGTACGGAAATCCTTATTTCAAAGGAGGTGCACCTCAAAATGCCTGTTCTGCAGTTAGTCTTATCTCTTGAAGTTTCTTCCATCAGTTTCCAAACAAAAGAATAATGTATGAATTGTTTCGATTTGCTCGATTTCTATCAACAGAAAGGTGGAGCAGGTGATGCTTCTGCCACTGGTATTAGGATGCCAGACAAGTTCTCTTCGGTCACTTTTGATTGTTGCTTGACTGGAGACATGATTTGTCAAACCACTGGTTCCATCGTCGCTCATTTAGAGTACCCTGGATCAGCCAGCGAGAAGGAAGCTGTGAGATTTGCATCTTCTAAACTGAAGAATGCGTTGGATGGGAACCACTCATCTAAACCCGGTTACAATGCAGGTGTGTGAGGACAACGTCACTCCCTTTCCTGCACACTTTTCTTACGCTGAATGGGAGCAATGCTGATCATCATCTTCACATTTATCTCCGTCTTTCATTTTTGTGTGAATGCTCCACCTGTTCCGAAGATGGGGATAAAGGATCATCCGGATCAGAAGGCACGACTTCCAGTCAAGGTACTACTGGTGGCGGTAATGGACTTCTCTCAGGGTTTGGCTCTGGTAGCACTATCGGAGGATTACCAAGCCTTGGTAGCGGTATTTCAGGACTTCCTTCTATCGGATCTGGCACTGGTGATAGTACTGGTATCTCGTCTTTGCTCGGAGGTGGTAGTGGTGGAATGGGGGGGATTCCAAGTTTTGGTGGTGGTAGTGGAATGGGGGGAATCCCAAGTTTCGGTGGTAGTAGTAGTGGAACGGGAGGAATTCCGAGCTTAGGGGGTGGTATACCGGGACTTGCTTCCATGGGATCTGGGCGTATGAGTGCTAAATCTAAAGACACTGCCTAGCTTCAAAAATTGTTTCAAATAACAAAATCTTTTCCTATCATTGTCTCTTATATCTGTTTTCTGTTGTATGAATAACTACACGATCACTGTAAGCTTAACGGCGTTTTGCGGAAGAATCACTTTACTCTTCATTTTTTTTGACTCCCAGAACCTCAGTGGAACTTAAGTTTCCGCCAACGTTAGCACCCTGAAGAATTCTCCCAAGGAGACATTGAGATAGCTAAAAGCTTTAAACCTTGAGACCGTTAAAAGCTCTAAAAGCCTGTGGATAAGGGTGAACAAGAGCCTTTGAATCATGTCATCGTTGACTCCAGTTCGCTTTGAACTTTTGTCACCGTTACCCATTTTCCATCTCAAGTCATCTTGTGTTTACCTTTTCTGAATGATCATCGTATCTTTACAAGTCTTAGATCAACTGAATCCTCATGGCGCCTGTGGATTCTCATGCGCACGGCTTGCCTCAATAATTGGAGAGATCAATTACACTCGGGTGATAATTTTCTTAGGCGTTCACTTTTGGTTCTCGTATTGTGCGTGTATCTTCCCTTCGCTTTGGGCTTCTTTCTGCGATTTTTATGGTTTTAAGCGCGGTGTATTTTGCTATACTCGTCTCAGATCTTGGAGCTGTACTTGGCTCATATGACGCATATACGATCAGTGTGTCATATGATCGAGAAAAAAATTGAACGGCTTTGGTATCGCGCTTAACACGGCAGTGGTGATGCACTTCAGGTGATGTATAGATCATCATCAGCTTCCCCATATATATGAGGCACAACAATTTCCTCCCTAGTTTCATAATAGATGCCTGAAAGTGAAGATAACACAGGTCTTTACCTTCCTTTGTACACACATATCACTCAGAAATTGTTCAGAAATTGTCGGATTGAAATCCCAGCAAGATAAATCATGAAAGTAACCCTGGTTACCCTTGTAATATTTCCTATCTTATTGCATTTAAGACATCATCAAATATTGGCCATAAAAGAAAACACATGCATGGCTGTCAAAGGTATCACTGGAAAAGCCTATGAGTTTGATCTCAATTTATCACTAACACCTGTGACAACCAATGAACACTTGTTCAATCCAGACCACACATCTATCCCTAACGTGCAAGAGTCACCTCGGGATTCAAAGGACTTGATTTCAGATAGATGGTCACCATCAAACTCTTTGGACCGAGAAGCGCGGGGTGTTTTCATATCTCCAGGATCAAATTTGAGAAAGGATGATAATGACGGAAGTCGAGAGCGTTCAAAACCCGAAGAATCAATAAATCTTCAAGAAGGTGTAGCGCTGAGGCAAGAAAGTTCTGGTACTCAGGTCAAAACAAACTCCCGGAGTAAAGTTCGCCACACATATACCTCTGGGCCTGGTTAGTTGTTTTTCTTATGAAACTCTCTGAATCATAAAGTGGAGCCTGATCTCTCCGTTTCCTCCATTACATAGATTCACAAAGATCAGAACAAGAATCATCTTCCATAGAGGGAATTGTGCCCGGATGGCGCTCTACAAGAAAGAGATCATTTAGGAAATCTTCTCTACCAAATTCCACATGGCGCAGGGTTGACAAATTTTTGTGAGTGTCCAATCACCCCTTAAAACTAAGAGGTGGGAACGGTAAAGGACTCAAAAGTAGTTGAATGAAAGCACATGATCACTCAATGTGTTACTCTTTTTTATTATGTGAACAGATCAGATAAGCAGTACAAACCAACATTTAAGAAGACAGAAAAAGCTTTCCAAAGGTTGGATCCTGGCTCAAATATGAGAAGAAAAGGAATGAGACTGAAGAAGGAAGTACTTAACTTATATGCTTCCCTTGGTCCAAGTCCACTTCAAAATGATCAAAATCTCAGTACCAAACCCGGTTATGAGCTAATCCAAAGAAACAGAAACAGAAAAGTTTGTGTAACCTTTGATAATTTTCAACAACTTGAAAATGAAAAAATAAAGAAAAAGATTCGAAACTATTCTGATAAGTTCAAAGCCAAAGTATTAAAATGGCATGGAGATCATAAAAAACGTCAAGTTGTTACTTCTAGAAAATTCAAGATTTCACAGAGTTGTTTGAGTACTTGGCTGAAAGATTGTTAGTATACTAAATCTCAGAGGTTACAATTTTCTAAAGAAAATGGGAAAACGATTACAGAAGAGAAACAAGGTGAAGGAAAATTAGATATGTCTTGAGCAATCAGAGCACTGAGCTAGAAAATATTGGCATCTACTTTAATCAAAAGTTATGGTGCAATGGTTGAGTTGTATACCAATCCTTTCTCGGAATATCCTTCCAAAATGTTTCTATCAAATTGTGAAAAGATACACTGATGTAACTTAAACCTCTATTTGAAGTAAAACAAGTGGAAACTTTTACTCAAAGAATAAAGTCGATTCAGTTGAACGACTTCTTTGAGAAGTTTACGAGTAGGAAGAAAAGACAATAAAAAATAACTCAGAATTTCAGAAAGGGCTTGAATGGGACACATTGGGCTATACCTGATTGGCTAGCAGCAATTTTCTATTATTTAAATGTGTCTATAAATTTCAATCAAATCAGTGATAGATAACACATCACAGCTTGAGGTCAAATATTTGTTGTGATGAGCTGATACAACACCAACAAAGGAATTGACTATGAATTGAAGACTGGATTCATAGCTGAGGCTAGATTTGGGGTTTACAATAAGCGCACTGAGGCCGGTGAGAAAGAAGGTACATACGAGCAGTTTGCAGGCTGAGTGGGCCAAAAATAACTACTGGGGTCTAAAAGAAACAACTTTAACATTAAGTCAGCAAAAGAGAAGGGTTCTTGAAATGTTAGGATGGTAAAAGAGAGCCCAGAGGTCGACAATTCTGTAACATGCCGCAGTTCACGCTCGCACCCGAAGCCACGAAGCCTCGTGGCGCCACGGTAGGGCTCAGGGCCATGGCCGTGGCATAGGCCATGGCCCTTGCCATGGCCCTGGGCCCTCCGTGGCCTTAGCAGGGCATCAAGTCCAGCTAAGCCCCATAAGGAGAGGCTTAAGGGTGGGGCAGTGACCAAAATCGAGCTCGGCAATCATCAAACGTTCTCATTTCATGATACCATTAACAATATAGAGTTGCTTTCTTTCGATTCCCTGCTCAATAAGTTGATTACAAAGACTCAAGAGATGATAGTAAAGCAAGCCAAATAAAAGATATCAACAATAGAAATACTTACAATTCACTACACTCAAATAAAAATCAATTATCCACGATTGATCATCACAAAGAAAGGGTAACAAAGTCAATAAGCATAAAAGGTAGAATGAGAAATGGAGAGATCGATGTAAACATAAACAAGAAATGCTAGTGGATGAGTGGCATCTGTTCCATAGACAGAGATTTGGATCGAGGGAGATTGAGAAATCAGTAAACGCTCGATAGCGTGTTGTGTTTTCTCAAATCCGCGCCCCAGATCATGGCGCCATTGTGGCGCCACTGTAAGGCCCTGGCTAGAAAGGGCCTGACCGTGGCAGGCCACGCCGGGTGCAGGCCATGGCCACGGCCATGCCCTGGGCCACGAAAAAGGCGCCGGGTGTGAGCGTGAGCCGCAGTAGTAATGAATGACTTGCCAGAAATTAGAATTGACCTGTACCTCGACACAGCAAGGAGCATGAGGAGAATCCATGCCGGGCGGCATTTGTCGGGACTGAGCGATAGACACGGGTTTTCCGCCTCAATACGTGACTAATCTCGGTCCGCAGAGCTTTAAGTCACGTACACGGTACGACACTGCGATGAAGTCGTCTCATCAAACTTCTCGCACAAACTGGTTGTCATTGAATCATTTGCCTGATGAAGTTTCATGGCAACAGAATGGCTGCGGTACAACACTGTTCTAGCCCTACCTGTACATATCTCTGCTGGGATCGATGGATGATAAAGATCCATGCAATGAAACCAGCGGTTCTCATGCTTCAAACCTCTCCTTTGAACAGACACCATGAGATTTTCAAGCTTGTTTCACATTTGCAAATTGGACGACACGTTTGAACACCTCTGTTCCACAATACAGCATGAAGCCTAAGGTATTAATGGTTGCGAGTTGGACGTCAGTTCAGATAAGGATTGTAGAAAGAATTTGTGCATAGCTCATCTCTTGGGGGAACATATTGAATCTCGTGTATGAACGGGTCGCGGATTCAGACACTACAGAGGGTGTCACGTTCATCTGTTACCTCTCGAACTGATCTCACAATGTGAGTGTTGTAGAAATGTTTGGACCTCATCTTTTGGTTGGATACTGCTCAGAGGTTATGGATCTAAGACCATAGTGTATCAAGCTCTCCACTATTACAGTCGCTCCTGTAAACCTTGAGTAAAACTCCTCGCCAATGTGCTTCGAGTTTTGCGAGTAGAATCACGTAAGCTGTACAAAATTGACACTGGAAGAGTGAAATTTAATTCGACATCATTGGCTGATATCTTTTTGGCACTTTTGATGCAAAGCAGAATTTTCAGTGTGGATTTAAGATATAAGTCGAGCCCTTTCAGGGTTTGTGGCATCTGTGGTGAGCTGTTTCCAATAGAGGATTTCTCGAGCAAATTTTATCACACGTAGTCTTCATTCAACATGACTCGAAGTCTCTGTTCTTTTGAGCCCTACCGATATGAATATAGGAAGTGGTTTTTATCTTTTTTAGTGATTCTATTATGCATCCATATTAGCAGAGCTCCCCTCGTGCCAATTGTAGGAAAAGAAAATGGTCAAGTCGTAGCCAAGTCATTGGCTACTGATACCCCCACCACAACTAACCTAGAGATGATATTTCTTGGAACCGGTAAGTTTTTTTCCCAGAAACTGAACCATTTATCAGCCTGATAGCGTCCAATGCCAATTCTCTCCAGGTCCTTCCGGCCGAATTCCGGAAGCTGGCTGCATCTTGGGACCCGAAGGACCTTGTGCCGGTTGCAAGTTAGCCATGGCCAAGTCAACAGATTCTCCTGTCTTTGACAAGAGGGGAAACACTTCAGCAATCCTTCGATTTGTCCCGCCGACTTTGGACAAGAATGAAAAGGCTACCCCTAAAACAATATTAATCGATGCTGGGAAAAGTTTTCAGACCTCTGCCCTTGAGTTATTCAAGCGTAACGGGCTCTCCAAAATTGATGCTGTCTTACTTACTCATCCTCAGTTCAGTCGCCTTTCTATTGCCAGTTTCATTTTTTGTTTTGCTAGGAGTGGCCCTGAATGGAGACAAACTGACTCATAGTATCTGTTTAGCGCGGACGCATCCGTAAGTTTCTTTTTAGAGACACATCCTATCTTTTGGGGGGAGGCGCGTCAGACTGAACAAACATTGGCTCCATAAATTTATAGTTGGGATTAGATGACTTAAGATGTTAGTTTTCTCTCTAGCAAAGATATCTTTCACGTCGGCTTCCAAGAAGTGAAAAGGATGTTGACAATTTCATGCATGTAGCTTGGACGTCCGGAGCAAATCCCATTCAAAAAACAATGGCTATTTATTGTGATCAAGACACATTTTTGACGGTACTTTTCTCTTAGAATACAAAAGCAAGTAAAGCACAGAATTTCTAATGACTTCAATCATTCCCATAATCAGATAAAGCAAATGTTTCCTTATATGATAGACCCCTCAACTGCCACAGGTGGTAAGCTGTAGTTCATTTCTGGCCCTTGTGACGATAGACTGCTGATCTCGACAATTTCAACCTTTCAAAGGGGGAAGTGTACCCACCTTTCAATGGAATATCTTTGAAAGAGAAAAGCCTCTGGACCTCTTTGGGCTGCGTGTTACACCCCTCACGAGTGCGTTTTGGGTCACTTCGCAAAAGATGTATAATAGAAATATCACCCATGTCTGATATCTTCTTCCCTCCATCCTTGATACGTATTCGCCTCCAAAGCTCATCATGGTACTGTTGGACAAGGACAGGACGCCCGTCCCTACGAATGTGCCGGTTTCCTTTTTGACCGCTCAATCGTCTACATGTCCGATGTGTCCTCGATCCCCGAGTCTACATGGACTGCTCTGGCTTCTCTGGGAGTTCCCAGCTCTATCCCTTCGGAGACACATCCTCAACCTCGGCCCTCCCTTCCTATCCTTGTTATTGACACACTCAGACTAGTGACACGACCATCTCACTTTGGGATAGAAGATGCATTGAATACAGCTCATAGGCTCGGTGCACAGAAGACTTATCTCGTTGGATTTGAACATGGAGTAACGTAAGTGTCTTTAATCACCAAAGTGTTATGTAATATTACTAGCGCTTATTATAAGTGATCATTCTACCAAAAGGCACAAATCTTGGGAGCGTGCATGCAAGGCATTTGGAGAGGGAATTCCAAATATTGACAAGAAGGAAGTTAATACCCAGATGAGGCTTGTGGATATTGGGAAAGACCCAGAGCTGTTCCATCGGACAGCGCTCTACATGGGCAAACCAAAAAGCCCGATGTGGGTTCGACCCGCATTTGACGGACTAAAGATCAGTACAAATGGAGAGACCGCACAAGATGATCATTACTCCTAATTGAGATAGTGACATGTTCTTCTATTATGCGCATATGGCATTATTTTGCTTACGATCTGTAATGACATAATGATTTTGAGTTCTCATAAAAGGTTCTCCACTTTGATCATTGTACCCTGTTCTCTTTATTGAACTCAAATATTTTGTTTTACAATCTTTGTTTACTCAGATTGTTCTTTCTCTTTGATCAAGCGTGTTAGTCTTATAGCAAAGCTAATAACCTGAACATCACAGGTTTCTCATTCAATTCTCCTCACTAGACATCCAAGCTTGGTTGAAAAAAGTGTCTGACTATGGTATTCCCAAATTTTTATCATTACTGAGACCTCTTTTTCTGCAATAATTTTTCCCGCACATAATCACTGGCACTACTTAATATGAAATCATTTGCAACAGATACTTTTGTGGTGTGCATATAAACTTGAGGATAGTTGATTTTTAGTACCCACCTATATTCCTCTTGAAAAAAATGGCATGCACCATAAATCCTTTCATTCATGACTCAAGCAATATGTTGTGAGTAAGTATTATGCTTGTGGGTGGCTTAAGGGTTTGAAAAGATGATCATATTGCCACAATTCATGACAACAATGCACACATAATTGAGAGAAACAGTGAGAAAGAGAGAAAACACTAAGGGCACGTTCACTTAGGGCCCGTTCACTTAAGCGATTTTTCGCAAGAAATCACTTTCTGTAATTCGAAAAATCGCTTTCTGTGAAAGGCGTTTGATATCTTATTTACAAGCATTCTGGAAATCACAGAATGCTTATAAAAAGGCTTGTTTCATCGCTTTCCACAAATGTGATAATATCACATTTTTCCAACTAGAAATCACTTTCTGTGATCCTTTCACATTCTTAACCATCCTTTTCGCTTGACTCAAATTTGGACAAGTCCCTGTCCACGTACAAAACTTGACATTTGGGTGAAGTCACCTTTCACCGTACAGATTACCTCACCCTTCACCCTTCACCCATCACCCTTCACCATACTGTACAGACTCACTCTTCCGATCATCATCTTCAACCACCTTCTACCATTGTCACCGTCCTTCTTGAACTCAATCATCACCCAGCATGGCTCATTCCGAAGATAGTTCTGTTGAAGAAGTCACTGTTCTTCCACCAAAATCGAATTCAAAATCGAATTCAAAATCGAAATCGAAATCAAAATCGAAGTCAAATATCACATTCAAATCAAACACTTCATCCAAATCCAAATCTAAAGTTGACAAACCAATTGAAGCTAAGAAAGATACTGAACCGGAAACCACTGGCGGTGCATGGATTCATAGTCACACTCTTTATCTTATTGACGAGTTTAAACATCAGACTGAGATTGGTAAAGGCAATGACGGTGGCCTCAAGACCGATGCATGGAAACAGGTTACCGAGAATTTCAACAAAAAGTTCAAACTCAAAGACCCTTTGTCACGATTGAAGAATCATATTCAAAAGGTATGGCACATTTGATTCTTTTTGATTTTTTCATTTATGGCTCAATGTTATTCTTTTTGTTATTCTTTTTTCTAATTGTTCTATTTGCTTCTATCATTCATTTCATATGTTTCGATATCTAGTTAAAGAAAACTTACAAAGCCTTCGATAAAATTAAGGATTTGTCTGGTGCGCCTGGAACTGACGATGTTACTGGTGAAGTTCACGCAGACAAGGATTGGTGGGATCATTGGATCAATGTGGTAAGTACATTCTTAATTTCAATCTTATCAAATCCAACAAGTATCTAATTTCTGATCTAAAATATGTACAATAGGCTGGTAACCACGACACAAAACCAATTCGTAACGGTGGTTTTCCAGCGTATCAAGCTGTAGCCACCATCATGCCAGAAAAGCATCTGAGAGTGAATGGAAATGAAGGCTTTGGAACTCAAAGCAAGAAGAAGAAGGCTGCCTCATCATCACCTGTTGAATCAGATAAGGATGAAGATGGTATTCATGCTTTATTATCTTCTACTTTCCCACATACTAACCTCTATCTTTTTTTGACCGGTCAAATTCAATCAGGGAACAAATCCAACAAAGAGGAAGATCAATCTCATGTATCCAATTCACAAAAGGACTCGGACCTCGAGGAAATTGAAGTTAATTGGCCAGCTTCTTCACAAAAGAAGAAGCCCACTGTAGGTTTTTTATGTTTTACTTTATTCATTTTGTTTTACTTATCTCATTCTTTAATTTCTTTCTATCTAGTCTCAAAACAAACACCAAAACAAATATGGACTCACACAATCCGAACTTGACCTCGACAGCGGTAGCGATGAGACCCTTGAAAGTAAGTTTGTACGCAGCAAACGAAGCCCGATTGGCGCCTCAACCTCGACTGCTAAACGAACTAGAACTACCGGACCAAAGCTAGTAGCTGAGTCTATTAGCAAAGCGGTTGATCGAGTAACAAGTCTTGAGGAGAAGAACGATAGCGACAAGGTTGTTATTGCTAAAATCAAATCTGAACAACATCCGATGCGACAAGAAGCAATGGCAATCTTTAACAAGGGATGTGCCAAGAACCTCAAACCTCAACACATCATCAAAGTAGCAAATGAGTTGAAAAAAGATGATACAGCATCCTTCTTCTATCATATGGATGCTGCTTATAGATGGGATTGGTTGAAGAACGAAGCTGGTGTGTTAGAAGAGTGTCAAGAGGTGCAAAAGGATGATGAACACGAGTAATTGATTCAAGTTTGATTTATGTAATGATTGATTCAAGTTTGATATTTCTATTAGTTTTTTTTGTTTCCTTTTCTGTTTCTTAGAACTCAAACAAATCATAAAAATCATACATTATAGTAGTTAAAAATTTGTGCGTGGCTTTTGTAATGTAAACTTATGCTTCTAAGTAATTTAAACTGTGTCTTTGAAAAGATACAAAAAGTGAAAACAAAGACGAGATGAATACAGTCAAAAGTGAGATTACAAAAGATACAAAAAGTGAAAACAAAAACGAGATGAATACAAAAGTGCCACCTATTCTCGTCTACGTGCTACTGGTGCATTCATATAATCCCGGAACATACGCTCGGCAAGTTCGTCTCTTTGATCTGAGGCTTGAGTACGGGCGTTTGAGCTAGGTTCAACCCAGTCCGGTTCATTGTCTCCTGCCATCCTCATTTCCAATCTTTCCTTTAACATGTACTCTTTGTAAAACTCATCCTCGCCAGCTTCTATTTTAATGATATTGTGTAATACACAGCACGCAACCACGATCATTACTTGAACTTTGTATGGGTAAGAGGGCATGTGAGCCAAGATAGGGAACCTCATCTTTGAAACGCCAAAGATCCTTTCGATAATGATCCGAAGTGCAGAATGACGGTGGTTGTAAAGCTCCTTTGGGGTCCGTGGTGTTAAGCCGGAATCTTTCCATTCCTTAAGATGGTATCTGACTGATCGATACGGTGTAAGAAAGCCTGGTACGTTGGCGTAGCCAGCGTTGGCAACGTAGAACCGATCTGTTTCAAAGAGGAAAATCGATGTCAATTGTTTGTGTCTTTCACATGAAAGTAGAGACTTGTTGTTTACCTTCTGGAACAACAAATCTTTGTTCTTCAAGCGCTCGATGAAGAACACGAGCATCTGTGTGAGATCCCTCTAAACCAGCGTATACAAAAGTGAACAACATGTTGAATGAGCATCCCGCTAGGAGGTTCTGGCTAAGATCTCCTTTTCGGTTTTGATGAGCTGGACGACGATCGGAAGGAACAATGCAAGGAATATGGGTGCCATCAATGGCACCCACACATTTGTCGAAGTAAGGAGTAAATCACGGGTTATTTTGGATTTCCTTTGGACATATCTCGCCATCGGTCGGCTGAACAATGTATATAGATTGTAGAGATGCTATAACCTTACAAACCCGATTAAAATACTTGCTGATTGTGTGTCCTGAACGTTGGAATCTTTCGCCGGCGTTTCGATTAGTTCCTGAGTTTCCAACAATGTATAGGAAAATCAAGACTTGTTCTTCCTTCGATACACTGCACTTTCGATGGACCACAAGCTTTCCTTCAACGGCTTTCATCAAGCCCTTGAAGGCAAGCTTGTCCATTCGCGCTACTTCTCGAAATCGAACATCACTGCTTTCGAGGATCTCTGTTGTATACTGATTTCCTCGAAGCTTTGATGTTCTACAGGGCTTCCTTTTGGTGGTTATCGAAGCTACGTAGTCTATTCCTGCCTTGATGATGACCTTGAGAAGCTCAATGGCGGGTCGAACTGATATGGAGGACGTGTTGGAGTCGGAATCAGAAGAACTTGACATTATGGGCAAGTTGTGGAAGGGATGGTTTGGATGAATCAAAGGCTCAAAACCTTTCTTCATTGCATTCCTCAAAGCGGTTTTGAATCTTTGAAATTCAAAACGGTCCTTAATGATCACCAAAGTGAACGATTCATTACTTCATTTTTCACAAGTTTTCACAAAAGGTGATTTTGTGCTTTTTTTTACAAAAATCACTTTTCTACATGTAGAAAAGTGGTCATGCAAAATGTGCTTTCTTGAAATCCGCGCTAAGTGAACGGGCCCTAAGTGAACACGCCCTTACTGTGATGCAAAACACTTTTTAGTCATTGAAAGATTTTGATCTTGAATGGCTCCCATGCCCAATCTTTTTTGTTGTTTGGACTAAACAGTCATGGGTCTCATTCATGATCTTAAACCTATCATTTGTTCTAAATACTTCATGAGTGTCTTTTTGGAAATTGCATCTGATGGACACATCCTTTTGTACTGTTTTTTAAAAATTCATGCTCACTTACCCTCTGATGAGAGAAAACAAGTCACTTAGCTGTGCACAAGTCTATCCATCAGGAGATGGAAGATCTTGAAAATTTCCAAATTCAAGTTGGTTTCCAATTTGAGGCTGAAGAATTGAAACACATCCATTGAGTAAGGGCGCGTTCACTTAAGCAATTTCTGGGGGGAAATCACATTCTGCAAAATTTAAAGTGTCTATCTGGTGGCGTGTGTTTCATTTTTGCATCAAAAAAAATTGCAGAATGTGATTTCTGGTCAGAAATTCCTCAAGTAAACACACCCTACGTTTTGGCAAGGTGATATTAGATATAACCAGTCAAATATTTTCAGGAAGTTCATCTATAGAAAGGCATTGGAGTGTTTCCTGCATTTTTTTGATTGGCATTCCTGTGTTGTCTTGTCCAGTATATGATACATATTCTATCAATTTTAAATTATCTTTTACAGCCTCAATGAAATCATGGAGTGCATGGTATAAGGACCACAAATGTTCTGATTTTGATAGAGCGTGAGCTTCTCATATTGAAGTTTTGAGCCAATCTATAAACTTGTCATGCTGTTCACCCTACAATAGGGCTGTGACCCGGCCCTGGCCCCGGCCGGCCAAGTCTGCCCGACGTCTTTCTGAAGGCACACGGTAAGTGCCCTGACACACGTGATTAGGGGGATGAAAGCCCTGCAGGCACCTCGGGCGGGGCCGGGGCGCTCAAGGCCTGCTGTATTTTTGCTGTGTTGACAAAATCTTTCTTTCTAAATTTATTCCTGTTGCTCTGTTTGATTTTGATGTAGGCTCATATAGCTTCTACAAAGCATCTCACACAGATAAAATTGCAATAATATCCACATTAATCACTGTATTGCCCAGTTTTAGCACCTATAATCAGCTCAGGGCATGCCCTGGTTGGCCCTGAGCACTTTTTGAAGGCCCTTGGGTCTGCTCAGGGTCGGGCAAAGCCCCGGCGCCGACCCTCAGAGTTCAGGGCCGGGTCACAGCTCTACCCTACAAGGCATCTTCACCAGGCTACACAACACCTGCCCCTCTATCACACTTTATTCCCACCTCATTACCCTCCTCTCAACATAAGATATCATAAGGTCAACAAGGTGAAGAATTTCACACACCTGCCACACTTTCACAGCCCTTCAGCCACCCTGTTTCACCCTTCTTCACTTGCCTCATAGCAATAACCTTATACATACATATTTGGACCATATACATACATTTCATAGTAATGTACTAGCGTGTGAAAAGTAATACACAACACCCCAAACCCCCTTTCACCCCAGCGGCAAAGCCCCATGACAATTTACACACAATCAATCCTTCATCCTGCTCAACTTGACTCAATCATTGATACATTTTAACTCAGATTGTAAGAGTCCAAGAATGATACTCTTGACACAAGGGACCATCCAGAGATCAAACAAACAAATTTGGATTAATGTGATCCAATGGTTCATCAAATTCCATCTCATCCTCAGGTGAAAGGCTGATGGAACATTGGAACCACATGACCTATACCTATACACTCTTGATACATTCATGTTGCCTTGCCGGCAGGGAAAGGGCATTGACTTTGGACCATCACAAGCACTGTCAGCCCTGAGCCCTAATTACACAACCACGGGCTAACAGTAACACATGTAATATTATATTATTGTATAAATCCATAAGTACATCTCAAGGCTCAGTGTCAAGAGCCACATAAACACATGTACATAATGTATTAAATACGTAACAAACCTAACCCAAGCACCAACCACAAGTGAGACAAGAATTACACGCCAACCACAAGTTGACGCTTGACCTGTGAATATATAAACCCCCCTTCTTCCCTTGATTCATCCCCCATCTTTTAACACATCACAACACCAGAATCACATTATACTTGAAATCCTATAGAGAGGATCCTTGATTACGTGATTAGTTGTGTAGTCTAAAGACCAAACTTGAGCATCACGGGTTCTATTGCTGAGCGCCCCAGTATTGATTTCTATGAGCCTTGGGCCATCATATCCTCTAGAAATAAACCGTAAAGCAGCAAAGCTTCCTCCCTTATACAGAGTCTAAAGTAGCCTTCAGGATCTTTGGTTCACCAAAGTGTAAAGCCTGCCCCTCGCAGTCTCACAAGGTTAGAGCGTACTAGCTCTTTACTGCCCTTATGCTCTTTCTCTCTTCCTCAAATCCTCTTCTTAGAGGTCAACTAGCTGTAGTCTTCACTTGGGTGTACCACATGAAGACCACACTTTATCTTTATCACAACATTCTTTGTGAAGAGTACGCCTAACAGCTGTGCGCTCCTCACAAGCACACTTCTTGTCAATCTGGTATGGATCACATCCTAAATGGGGTTATATTAATAAATCTTTGAATGTGAGTCATGTTGATCTTTATGTACCTCTGTTCTTGTATCTGTTAGCATCAAGATCAATAGGGTTTCTTTGTCAGAGCTAAAAGTCGTTCAGTGCAAAATGAAAAGGGGGCTGGTAGTTGGTAAAACTCTGTCAGGTGCATGAGCTTGGGGCAATTCTGGAATCTGGGCCCACTTTGCACAACTGTGGCACAGTCTAAACTTGCATGCTCCTCAGCCATAGGTAGGACTGCAACCCGGACCCGGCCCTGCCCGGCTGAGCCTGCCCAACAGCCTCTGCAGAGCTCACGGTCTGCGCCACAGGATACAGTGGCCAAGGAGCGCCACATGTGCCATAACCTCAAAATTCAAAAATCACACTTGAAACTCACCCTGAAAGCCCCGCTGAACATATCCCAACCCCAGTCCGTGGCGCCGGGGTCATCACTCCAGGCTCCAGGAGTGCAGATGGTAGCCAGCCTCAGCCAGCTCAATGTAAATTGACTTCATCATAGATCAGTCATGTCTGCCACCAATGTTACTTTGAAATCACTGGGTCAGTACTTGAAGAAACATAATTGTCATGAATAAGACTGTTACAATGAATACAAAGGGCAATATCATGATGCTTTTAAAAATTTGATTGTTCCTTGGGATCAATCAAAGGTGCCACAAATGTTGCTTCTAAACCATTGTACTTACTATCCTAGTGCATCTCCAAAGAAATGTTTGTTTTGATTAGCATGTTTACTCAATGAATCAAATGGTCAAGAGGCTTGTGAAAATCAAACTCTGATAAACAACAACTGGAGTAGGTCATGAGTGGACCAATTACAAGTCTTTTACAAGGCTCTCTATAACAACTCCTTCACTGTGATCTGGAAAGTAAAAATTGGTGAAAGGGTTTAAGAGGATTGAAGTAAGAGGTTCTGGTCCGGCGCCACAGACTTGGGTCGGGATACGTTTGGCGGGGCTTTCAGGGTGAGTTTCAAGTGTGATTTTTGCATTTTAAGGTTATGGCACAATTTGGCGCTCCTTGGCCACCATACCAGGGCCACAAAACCTCATGTGATGATACTCACAAAGGCGCCCTGATGTTGCTTGGGTGGGTCGGGCACCGGGGCTGCCAACTCTCACTCCTGCAAAAACCCGCACGGTGAGTCATACTTCCAAAGTTCCCATATCATGGACAATTCAACAGCTCATCCCATGTTGTACAACCCATGGTTTTTGTGCCTAAAACCTAAGAGCATCCACTATGTTGAGGGTGTTTTATCGTAAATTTTGCGGTCCTGATTGCAAAATTTAATCATGCGTGTTGTAGCTAAGTTGTTAACCGCATGAAATCCACTATGGGATGATGTAACGTAGGATTTAACTACGATAATCTGTTCTTAGAACACTATACACGCTATGGCAAAGTCGAGACTCGAATTAAAGTATCTTACCACACCTCACCCAGCCTATGCTGATGACTACCTTGGTGACCAGAAAGAACCAAATTGATGCCTTCAGGTTTTGACAATCAGCAAAGAGCTTTCTCACCTCTTGTTTGATCTTGGTGACATCGATCGCGCGAGATGACTTCTTTTGAACAAAGGTGCTTTTTTTAGCAAATCCGGAGTAAACAACTACTATCAACAAGCTGAGGGTTCGAGGGAAGAGGGAAGGTTTTGAGTGAAGGTGGTGAGTGCAGAGCTGGATGGGAGATAGATCATTGGATGGCTGTTGACCGTTTGGATGCGCCAAAAGTTTACGATAAATCAAGTCGTAGGCTTTCGTAGATTTGAACAAGCGGACTGCAAGACTTGACGCGGTCGTACGGACCGCATGTCTAAAACAGGTCCATAGTGGACCTGTCTGGATTTTAGCGTTACGGTAACGCTAAATCGCGTCGTTAACGCACCCATAGTGGATGCTCTAAGCCTGGTTCTGCCTGGCCCCAGGCCTCAAGTTCAGGGCATGCCCTGCCTGGCCCTGAACCATTTACAAAAACTCTCGGGTTTCTTCGCGGCCAGGCCTTGGCCCGGGGCCGCCCCTGAACTCTCAGGGCCGGGTCGCAGGCCCAGCCATAGGTTTGGTTCAGCACAGGCTCCACTCAACAGCTCATCCCATGTTGTACAACCCATGGTTTTTGTGCCTAAAACCTAAGCCTGGCTCTGCCTGGCCCCAGGCCTCAAGTTCAGGGCATGCCCTGCCTGGCCCTGAACCATTTACAAAAACTCTTGGGTTTCTTCGCGGCCGGGCCGTGGCCCGGGGCCGCCCCTGAACTCTCAGGGCCAGGTCGCAGGCCCAGCCATAGGTTTGGTTCAGCACAGGCTCCACTTCAAAGTCAAGCAAGTCACGTCGTTCTCATCTTGGAGCGACTACACATCGAGGTTCTCTTCAAATAACACAAATTCTTCCCATAGGCAACTTTATGACAAAGAGACGCAATCGTAAAAATAAAGCCAGGGAAGAATGGAAGCGTCTTCATCCAACAGAAACCCCGAGAGTTAAGGTATGTAGCGATCCTTTTCATATTTCTTTTCATTTTTTAAAGCAACTCATTCCAAACCATTTTCAAGACTCTTTCATTGGGAGAAGTAGAGCAAAAGAGGCGATCCAGACATAACCGAGCAGTAGGCCACACAAACTTGGTATTGAATCCTTCTCGCTTAGAAAGACCAATTCACTATCATCAAGTTCATGTGGACGATAACCCTAATGAGGAAAATTACACAAATGGACCACTTCCTGGGCAAGAACCTATGATCATCAAGGCCAACAAACTCTGGGTCTTAACGAACAAGCGTAATTACAAGGTAGTTGCTCTGATTCGTCAAACGCCATTCGATTCGATGTCTTCAAAAGAACGTTTCAAGCTACGATTTCTTGCCAACTATTTACATGAAGAGCGCGAGTTTTCAAACCCAATCACGGGGAACGGTACTATGGTACGAGGACATCTGGGTGTGGTGGGTTTTCACCCAGCTTATCATCCATGAAAAGTTGCTGGTAAGTGAATCATTTTTACTTCTCTTTGTTCTACTCATTCTTTCATATTGAACTTGAGCTTTCTCATTTATAGGTGGTCGTCGTCCTTGTAAGAGAGTACAACGTAGTCGCAAGCTGCTCTCCTACTGGTGGAGACGATGTGTACTCCGTCGTCCTAAAGTACAAAACATCTATACACAACGCTTCAAGTCCATGTCCAAATTTTTATATAAAGAAACCTGTGATCAAGCTAATTCCCACCCAAACAAAGGCTCTCCTGGTTGGTCCTTGGGCATTCTCTTACCGTACGACAAGACAACAGGCAAACTCGCCTACAAGAATCAAGGTTATGACGTCCAAGGTGGAGGTTTTTGGTGGCCAGATTTCAAATGTGAGGTGGATTTTGAATCATGTGATGGGATCACGGAAGTTTTATGGCGGGGTAACAAGGACCTTGTCTGTACCAGGCCCTCTATCGAGCCTTCAGGAAACTTCACTCGAGTAGGAAATACCTTTCAAGTCAACACCAAGTACAGAAACGCCTGTGGTTCCATTACAAAACGTTGGAAATCTTACGTCAGTCCAGGCCTGACAGTGGCACAACTCAAACAAAAGAAGTTGAAGCGCCTTCGATACATTGGTAGTCCCTCATTTTTATATAAGATGTATCTGAAACGAATTGAAGAACAAGAAAAGCAAAATTCAAACAAAAACTTTGAATCTCCATATCTTTCTTCTCAAGTCCTATCTGAAGCCTGTGTCGATTTGATCTCCTTTATCATAAACGAAAATTCTGTAACGGAGTAGCACATGAAAGTTATAGTTCTTATATTACCCTGTTAGATTTATCCTTACCAAAAGATACATACCCATCCTTTGATGATTGCGTGACATTTCTGGATGTTGGCTGAATTAACCACAATATAATAATCTATCAATGAACAAATCACCTTTAATCTCACAGCCTGCTCCACTCAGTACTCCACCAGCAACAGATGAAGGTTTTGCTTATTCAACTCTTTTAAGAAGAGCAGATGAAGAAACTTCATTACGTACTACTCATCATAAAACTTATCCATATCAACCAAATACAACAAACATTCAACTAAATTAAGGGAATCTGTTTTGGGTTCGGTGGCACGTTGGGCGGTTTGCTACACATGGAGGTCCGGAGACCTGGATTGCAAGAGTGTGCCCCCGGGATGCGGGGCGCTAGAAAAGAGATAAGGCTGGCAGGAGTACATGGGGGTGGCCAACTAGGCGCTGAGCTTCTCCACTGGAGTGCTCCCCACTCCGAGACACAAAGATGACATCGAACAAGACGCAGAACTGATCACTGAGAGACAAAAAAGGAAAAAGAACGAAGCAGCCCACTTGAAACTTAACCCAGGTTGTCCTAAGGGTGGTGGGCGGGAAAAAAGAAAAATAACAACTAATTATGGCGGTTTTTTAAGCGAGATGGTCACTAAAGTCGAATTGACTGGCTTAGAAAGATAGAGAGAGATTTGATATTGAAAATAATGTAGGTGTAATTTTTTCTGACGATTTGGAGAACGGGGGAAATGGTACATCGGTTACAAGGTACCCAATCTGGACTGTAGGCACGACAATGGTCCATTGGGGGAACCTGTCGATTTGCCATTTTTGTTGCACATCGTCTTAGAGTAGCAAAACCTTCCCTGCCGTCTTTGCCAGGTTTCCCTCCCCCTTTCACAGATTCCACTATGTTAATACACGTACCAACTTCGACTTACATGAACCGATTTCAAATTCTTCTAATCCTGATACTCCTTCTGCTCAATATTCAACTCAATCAGTTGAAGATGTTTTAATGCAAAGGAATCTATCTTGAAAAGGTTCTTGGCTCAATTTTATGAAAGTCCTCTTAATTTACTCTCATTGGGATCAGCGGGAATAAGTTTATTAGTAGGAAATACTGATGACGCGATCAGTATCACAATAGCAATCATCATTGTGGTCACTGGTACGTCATTTCCTTTGACTCTTGCAATATATCAAAAGTTTTGGATAACAAGAACATCTTCCTGATTTGATTCTGTAGGATATAGTTGATTTCATTCAAGAACATCGATCAGAAAAATCTCTTGCTGCTCTCAATAAACTTGTACCACACTTTTGTCATCTAACTCGGGATGGACAACCTCAAACACTTTTGGCCAATGTACTTGTACCAGGTGATCTGGTGACCTTTCCAGTGGGTGATCGAATCCCAGCAGATATTCGAATCACCAAAGCCAATAATCTCGAGATCGATGAAAGTACGATGACGGGAGAAACCAAACCGGTGAAGAAACACACTGCCCCGATGATCACCAATGATCGCTTACCTAGCATTTCAGAATGTGCAAATATAGCATTGATGGGAACACTCGTTAAAGCAGGAAACGGATCAGGAATAGTGATTGGTACAGGTATAGCCACTGAATTTTGGAGTCGTCTTTGGAATGATGCAAGAAGTAGAAGATCGTAAAACTCCATTACAATTATCAATGAATGAATTGGCGAAAAAACTTTCAGCGATTTCATTTGCTGTGATCGGTTTGATTTGTTTAATTGGAGTTTGGCAAAAAAGACGATGGTTAGAGATGTTCACAGTTGGAGGTTCGTCTTGTATTGGTTTTAAGTTTTCTTTGGTAAGGCATTTTGGATGATCAGAAAGAACTCAATCTTTACTCATCCCATCTTTTTTCTTTTTACTATTCCTTGATGACCATAGTCTCACTGGCAGTGGCAGCTATTCCTGAAGGTCTTCCGATCGTCGTTACCGTCAATTTGGCATTAGGAGTATTGAGAATGTCAAAGAGGAACGCGGTTGTCAAAAAATTACACTCAGACGAAACTCTGGGTTCGGTTTCGGTGATGTGCTCAGATTAGACTGGTACCCTCACTACCAACCAAATGACAGTCACACAAATTTTCACAATTGATGATGGCTATTAGAGATTGACACACTAGTCGGACCCAATGCTACGATGTTCAAATTATCGGAAGTGATTTTAAAGACATTAGAAATCTCAAACCTTTGTGTGAATGCATATCGAAATCCAGATGGAGTGAATGTGGGTCCAAGTACTGAAGTTGCACTTTTAAATGTTTGAACACTTTTAGGAATTGAAGATTGTCGAAGCCAGTTTGAGGAAGTCAGAAACCCCTTTATTTCTGGTGTCAAATAGTCTTCTGTGACTGGTTCTTATCAAGATTCAACTGAAATTCATCAAGCATATAATCATACCTCACCTATTTCAAGACCACCTGTGTTGACCATCAATGATCGTGAAACGTGTTATATAATGGATGCCCATTTACCGTTTCTTCAATTTGTCTTTCAAACTCAATCTCTTAGTTTTCATGATCTTTTGACTTTGATTGGGTTGGTTTGTTTTAGTTTTTTGGGACATGAGATTAGAAGAAGGTGTGACAGAAAAATCGAAATCGAATTAGATCTTGGTGAAATTATTGGTGGGAATGGGGTTTAAAAATTAAGAAGGAAAAAACAGATCAAAGGTTTAATGAATGGAATGATTTGCTTTAGGTATAATTTTGGTATACTTCGGGGGTTTCTGATTCACAAAGAGGAAGATTTTTTTGATTTTCTATACTATCAGTTAGCGGCACCAACAGGTTCAAACATTGATACATTTTACTAGAGAAGATGGATCAAAACAAAACGATGATCAGTTGAAAACTTAAAATAATCATTCATCTCATGAAATATCATCACTTTGTGTTAACACAAGTGGCCAAAACACGGGATGACGTCATCGGTCTGTTAGCTTAGTTGGTAGAGCGTGGTACTAATATTCCTGAGGGGTATCAATGCCAAGGTCATGGGTTCGAGCCCCATACGGACCAGTCATTTTTGTGGGCAGCTTGAACCCATGACCTTGTCCCTCACTTCATTTTTGTCCACTTGACCCCTGACCTTAGCCTTCTTTTATGTTCCTTCTTTTTTTTTGCCCCTGGACTGTATTAATGAGAATTGAACTGGTAGCAGGAGTTGATAACTTTTGAGAGGAAGTGAAAATATTTTTTATGAATTTTTTCACAAGATTTTTCTGAGAGGGAACAAGTGAAACAATGGACAAGACCATGATGAAAGATAGGAATTGAAATTTTTTTGTCAACTCCGCAGGTGCTAACTTTTCCAACAATTTTTTGGGATTGGCCTCTACACTGTTCCCTGTCCACTAACCCAAATGCTTCTTTTTTGCCTTGGCTGCCTCTGATTCCCCCATTCCCTTTAGTCAACACTGTGTGCCAACTTTCAATTTAAAAGTTGAATCCGGGCACATGCCCGGCCTTATGCCCAGAATTCTGTTTAGCTGTAAATTTGGATTCTGGGCCCAAACTTTTACCTAGGAAAGCTCAATTTAAAGCCAAAAAGAATTCTGGTCATAAGGCCTGGGGCATGTGCCCAGATTCAATTTTGGATCCCATATTAGTAATTTTTTCTGAAAATTTTGTGAAGATTTGTTTACCATTGGAGTTGTGCTTTTTAAGTGCTTATGCTTACACATATCGAACCACCAAAATTTTCCACTGTGTCAAATATAGGAACTGAATAACATCTTTGATGAGAAACACAAGAATACAGGGTTTGATTTCCCAGAGCATGTGTCAAAATCTTTTGATGTGCCAGGAAAACTTCTGTATATACCTGATCCATTGATAGATAACCATAACACAAACTTACATCAACCACAGAACATGTTTCTCTGTGATCAATCTTTTTTTTGACTGTTTTAAATTCTAGGGAATGGCTCTCTTTGGTTTTGGATACTACATGTATCATGATCACTCTAAACAGCTGCGAGGTCAGGTTTAATTAGCATGAAGTGAACTAGACCTGACAGAAATTAGCAAAGCGCAACTAGGACATAAACTTAAGCTAAGGAAACAAATTTGAGTTCTATGAGGGTGGCTTGCACATTTCTTGCGCCTACAACAATAAATAATATGCTATCTTGATAAATTCAGACTGATAACAACAATTTATCTTGACTACTATTTCTGATTTTCTGAAGAACCAATATACAAAAAATTGTTAATGAAGTAGGGCGGGTGGGAGGTAAATAATTTCATCTACTAATTTCTTTGAGACAGGAAAGAATCTAGGATAATGAGATGGATGGAGAAGTGTAATAGATGTTTAGATTATCACTTTAGGATGTAGAAGTTGAGAATTGGGGAATTGCCTTCCTCCCTTTCATCCAACTCTTCTCGTGAAATCATAGATTGCTATTCTAAGAGTGATTAGCTATATAATTTCATCTACGAGGAGTGGATGTGGTGATGTGATCCGGTTACCTCATTATCCGACACCCTTTCCCCGACCCATTCCCATATGTCAATACTTGTACCAACCTCTAGACTTTTCACAAACATTGGTGTTCCATTAACATTGCACCAAACGACATCTTTTCCTGTGGGTATGGAAAAGCAGTGCATGCATAAAAAAGTATGGGTAGAGTGCTTTTCCAAACCCATAGAGATCAACTCCTCTATGCCCATACAAATCATTCTGTTCTATACCCACAGATAACAACAGTTCCATAACCGTGTAAACTAAATTTGAATCTATAAACAATGTCCTTCTCAAGCATCATCCAATGGGCAAACATGATCCATCAGTAATGATGTAATTAGCATGTAGACAGTCAGTCTGTGTAAGACTGTGCATACATGTGCACATATGTTGCTGAGAATGCGTGAGATTTTTTATGAGCATAGAAAATGTCTTTTGGGATAGAATTATCAAGAGAAAAATTGGAAATCAAGATCCAGCGCACTGTGGTGGCTTCTTTTGGGGCTTGTTACGTTCAGCTGAATCAGCTCAAAACAATGCTCAAATGCTCAATCTCAAAAAAATCACTTGAGTATGTCAAAGAAAAATTACTGTAGGTATAGAGAAGTAATCTGTGATGGTCACTTGACCCACTATCTGCCTAAGTCACCCTAAGTCCCTACTCATTGTGTGCGCATCCTTCAGAGCTTGCGGAGGAGGGATTTACAACTTATTGGAATCTTTCGCATGATGCCAATTCCCAGTTTGAGATTTTCAGTGATTTTTGGCCAAAATCAACACTAACCCACACTTATCAACAGCATATCAAAAATCTGAAGAAGCCAGTTTTTTCCAAGGAGTCCTGTACACATACTCCCCCAAACTTGGTCAAGACTCTAAAAACAGTACTTTGTCTTGAAGCTTAACTGAAAAAAGTGTAACTTTTGAGAAAACCAATCATAGATGGTTTATTAACAGAGAGATATGTAAAGTAAAGTCAAATTTGAGAACACACCATTGATCACAACAGAATCAGATTGAAAGTTTGATAATCAATAAATTTAGACATCATGAACTTCTTATAAGGCAGTAATGAGCAATATGGAAAATCTGAAGACAGCAAAAGATGCAGAAAAATTAACACTGCAAACTTCAATAAATCACTTTCCATGATTTGTTTGATAAGATGGGACAAATGATAGCCGGAGATACAGATTGAAATTGATAATAATATCAAGTCAAATTTTACAAGCAAGCCCCCCCCTCCGCAACTTTCTGCAGAAATTTTTGTATGGCCAAAATCATAAGCGGTATCATAGGGGGACTGTAGCTCATAACAAAGATAGGTCATAACTTAGAATCAAAGACCACTTCGAAGATGATTCTGTACAGTCTTTTCATCTGAGGCTGTACTGATTCGTAGTCCATCAAATGCAGGTCGAACCCACATCGGTCTCTTTGGTTTACCCATGTAGAGCGCTGTCCGATGGAACAACTCTGGGTCTTTTCCAATATCAACAAGTCTCATCTGGGTATCAATTTGCTTCTTGTCAATGTTTGGAATTTCTTCTCCGAATGCCTTGCACGCACGCTCCCAAGATTCGTGCCTTTATACAGAAAATGGTGAGATATGAAAGTAATATTTAAAATGAATACTATCGTCTTTGAAGATACTCACGTTATACCATGCTCTAATCCAACAAGATAGGTCCTTTTTGCGCCCAGCCTATGAGCTACCTTTAAGGCGTCTCCTATGCCTAAGTGAGATGCTCGTGTTGTTAATCTGAGTGTGTCAATGACAAGGATAGGGAGGGAGAGATGAGATTGAAGATGCGCCGTCGAAGTCATAGAGTTGTGAACACCCAGAGAAGCTAGGGTAGCCCATGTAGATTCGGGGATGGATGATACATCGGACATGTAGAGGATTGAGCGGTTGAACAGGAAACCGGCGCATTCATGGGGACGAAGGTCCTTTCCATGCCCCATAGTACCGTGGTGCGCTTTGGGGTCGATTATGTACAGAGAGGAAAGAAAGGCTTCAGACATTAGCGTTTTTATGACGCATTCTCTATGGAGTTATCGAGCACGAACCTGTGAGAGGAGTAACATGCAGACCGAAAAGATCAAGAGGCTTATCTTTTTCAAAGATATGCCATTCAAAGGCGGGTACATGACCTCCTTTCCAAGCACAGAATTGCCAAATCAGCCATGTATGGTAGCAAGTCCAGCTAGGGATGAGGTGGCTTAGACTTACCACCTGTGGCAGAGGATGGGTGTGTCATGTACGGAAACATTCGGTTTATCTGATTTTGAGAATGATTGAGGCTACATATCAGGACTTTCGTGCTGTATTTGCTTTTGTTTCTAAAGAGAACTTTCTGACCTCCAAAAATGTGTGTTGATCACAATAAATAGGAACAGTCTTTTGTATGGCCTTATTTCTATGAGCATTGGCTGTCCAAGCTGTATGCATGAAATCGTCAACATTCTTTCCATATCTTGGAATGTAATATGACACAGAGAAAAAAGAATGTTAATGAGAACACTTACGTCTCAAGTCATCTAATCCAAACTACGAGTTTATCACAATGGAGTTTTTACTCTGAGACCCCCTGAACAGACAGGATGTGAATCTAAAAAGAAACTTACGATTGCGTCCGCACTGAAGAGATGTCATGTATCAGTTCGTCTGTCTGCCTCTAACTTACAACGCTACTCTTCTTTGAAATACCATGAATTTGAAACTGGGCATAGAAAAAGCTACTCAACTGAGGATGAGTAAGTAAGACGGCATCGATTTTAGACAGTTTATTAGGCGGAAAAAATTCAAGAGCAGCGTTCCGGAAACTTTTTCCAACATCAATTAATATCGTTTTAGGAGTAGACTTTTGTTTTCCGTCTAAAGTTGGAGGAATAAATCGAAGGATTGCTGAGGTGTTACCTCTCTTATCCAAAACAGGAGAATTTGATGATTTGACCATGGCTAATTTGCAACCGGCGCAAGGTCCGTCGGGTCCTAGCACACAGCCAACATCTGGAATTTGGCTCGAAGGACCTAGAGAGAGTTTGTGTTATTTGCTATAATCTAAAAGGCTCAGTTTATGGGGAACGATCTTACCAGTCCCAAGGAATATCATCTCTAGGTCGGGTGACTTGGCTATAACTTGACCATTTTCCTTTTCTACAATTGGCACGAAGGAAGCCCTGATACTGTGGATACATAATACCATCACTGACAGGCACAAGATTCGCTTTCTACATTCATACCGACACTTTTCAAAAGAAAACAGACTTGAAATCATCTTGAATCAAAACTAAGCGTAACGATATGATCCTCAAGAGATCTTTTGCTGGGATAGCTCTACATTTGTATCATGAGGCATTATGAGAAAAAATCCGGTCCCACAGTTCCTACGCCACACATATTGTGCAATAAGTCGCAAGATTACAGATTAGTCGAATCATCCACAGTCTCCAACCTGCGCCGCGAGTTGAAAGACTGGATTGGATTGTTTCCCGTTGTTTAATCAGCTATTCGCAGGCCGTAAACATTTTTCTTAGACTTTTTTAGGGTTTCCCCGCCCCCATCATAATACAAGATGTACATACACTTCAGTATAAAGGTGTTTTTTCAAAAGAAAAAGGTTGCAATAATTAATCAAAGACATCTTGTCTTGTTTTAAATAGAAGGACGTGTAAAGCTGATCATACTGGTCTTCCTACTTGTAAATTGTTAAGACAGTGAGTGGCAATGTCCGTCCTGGCGCAGGATGTTATGAATCCGTAGCTTGAAGCTCTTCTACGACCGTCGGGCTGTGCTTATCACGATTTCTAGACCTTTAACCCGAGAAAACGTGGAGGATATTCACCAAATTCATCAGCGCAGACTCATCCTTGATTCAATTTCTACGCAACAATAAAGTCTTGAAGCACTCATGCGAAATCGTATTGGCATAGCCTCTTTACCATACGTACATCTTTTTTTTCTACGTTTACTTTAGAGGTCAAACTTTAGGTGCGACTTTGTTGCAGAATTCCAAGTTTTGTTTCGTGTTTATGTGGGGGACTCGTGAGTCATCGGTAGGTCGAAACTAATTGGATGCCGAATCAAAGCTGCGAATCTCATATTGAATCGTGATTCTTGTCCGTTCAAAACGACCGGTCGAGCTCGAAGCTTGTTATGCGGGGATCGCGTTGTAAAATGTCGAGGACTCGTGATCGATCACTCTGGACAGTTTTTAAAACTAGTAAGGAATTCTTTAGAATCGATTCAGATTTCGACTATAAACTTATACGTGTATGCCAAGGTGTAGAGCAGAATCAAGCTACGGCGTTTAGGCCCCTTCTCGGTAGACTTGGAAGAGGTAATCTTGCACAGCTCATGAATCTGTGTCTATATAAATGGCAGACAATCCATCCAGATTTTGATGGTTCTTAAAATTCCACTCTATATCCATTTCACTCACACAAGGCTATCATATCTTACCAAACCATTCATCTGATCATTCTTTTTTTTCTTCCAAACCGTATAACTGTAAAAAAACTACACTTTTGTCTTTTGAACATCATGAACTCAGTCATACTTTTTCCTTTAGTATGCCTAGCTATGTTCTATGCACAAGTTTCTGATGCTCAAAATACTGGATGTTACAACTATTTCCTTCAAAAGGATGGTTGTGTCTGGGGATCCACAACTAACCCTTGTCCTACCAATAGTACTGTCGAAAAACCATGCACTTCACTTCGTGCTGTACGTACTTTAGCCTTGATTTTCTTGAAGAGTTTCTGATCTGATCATACGATTTGAACAGTTTCATTACAGTGCATCATCTACTACTACTACCACTACTAGTACGACTACCACTACCGTTCATGCCGAAGGTACTATTGATTCGGATATCTTAGAATCAGAAGGTCTTCAAGAGGCTCCTAAAAGACTTGTTCGTCGATATGATACGACTGCTCCAGTGAGTGATTTTCTTGCAGAAAGAAGTTTGGTCCGATCAACAGGTTAGGTCTTGAAGCTGATCATCATCTGAAATCTTTATTCTTGATAGACACTCGCTGTAGCAGGTGGAGATGGAGTGCGTGATAAACATCGAATATTTTTTGATTGGATGACCAAACCTAATGAATCATTTTTTTTGTTTTCAAATTATTGGTTTTGATAACCAGATCTGTGGTGAGTAGCTTCATTGAAATTGCGTTGTTGTAAGACTCCTCACAATTTTTGGTATCGATGGGATATCCAGGTTTCTATAACTCTACCATCACCTCAGGGGTTTGTTTATGGACAGGTGAGGGTTGGGTTGATGGTTCAAACCAACAACAATCAGGATGGTTGAATGGGTACGTGTCATCATGACTGCTTAAGTCACTTTGCTCAACTTCATCCTGATGAAATTACTCCAACATTTGCAGTACGGTCACTGACAATTGTAACAAGCAAGTGTAAGTAGTTTCCACCCTCAAAGAATTACCATTTTTCAAAGTCCATGCAGACCAAAAGGGCTCATGATAACTCAAACCTCATCCAACTTCTCTGCCCAAAATTTAGCTACATCCAACGTCAAGGACAACCTGAAACAGTTCAATATGCGCCAGTTCTTGATGGCTGTCAATTCTTCACAGCAGATCCAGATGTGGGATGCTTCCAAATCTGGCTCACCATTGATGTAAGAAATCATCTTTCGTCTCTTTTTGCCTATATATCTCTGATTTTTTTTTTTTGATCATAGCTGTTTGAAAAGTTTGGACCGACTCCAGAAGAGCTTTCTAGCTTCACGATGAACTCGACTTTTACTTGGGACTTGTGAGTTACTAAATCCGATGCCTTACTTATTTGAAAACCTGAATCTGGAATCTAAAGTATAATCTTCTTTGGTAACACCACAGTAACAACTTGAATGGACAAAACCCCACAGCCGCACCGGTCTAAATAAAAGACTCAAAGACCTTCTTTTTTTCTTCTGTATCTATGCTTCTTTTCTACATGAAGTCTTTCTTTTCTATACCTGTGAATATGTCTCAAATCTATCATGTAAAGACACCCAAGAGATCTGAACTTCTGTAAAAAATGATTTGTGCTGGTGAATCTCATCTTCTTTGATTTTACCCAGAAATTCTACATCTTAAGATGATCATGCCACAAGAATGACCCAAAGCATGAGGTCTGTTTTATAAACCTGTCTTTGTTGAAATTGATGGCACAAAAAGATCAGATTTTTGACCTAAGCATAAGTAAAATAGAAATACACCAGGGGGTAAACTTCCTCGGCCTCGGATGGTTCTGGAAACGTGTCCAGGAATTTTGTTGCGAGAACCAAGACAAAGCAGTTCCGGTAACGAAATGAGGAGAACCGTGTGACAATCAGGTGTTTTCACCGGTTTTTGTGGGTTCAAGACCACCAAATATCGTAGTCAAAGATGGCATGAAGGTTGGTCAAGACTCGGATGAGACAATACCTTGACCCAAGTGCAACCATCTGGTTGTGATGCGATGTGTTTGACCTTGTCAGTCTTTGCTTGGCTGAGCTGTCAATCGATGGGTCCAGCACTCTTGCATACAGCTTACTTTTCGGTGACTGCTACGTGATGGAAGTGTTTTTGTTTTGAAAAACCTGGACACGTTCTGGGCACGCTCCGAAACAATTGAAATGTCGTAGTGTGTCTGTAACGCTATTGATCCTAGTTTTGGAACGTGTCACTTACCCCCTGGTGTAGTTAGGAAGGAATGTAAGACACGTGAAACCTGAGCATACATAATTGTGAAGAGTTCCAAGGGATGATACCTAACCAGGTGTGATCACATTTAGAGTTGGATTATCAAAATCAGATATGTGATTACTTCCAGAGATTCATGATTCCTTCAATTCCTAGATTAGGATGGTATAGTCATTCAAGTCTCAGGTTCGAGCCCTTTTCATCTTCAAGAGCGCATTTCAATCCCAAGTTTCATGATACAACAAGGTAATCTTTGGTGTATTGGTAATCACAGCTCCAATGCTACCACTTCAACCTAACAAGAGCCTTTGGTGATGTTTTGAGTGTTGAAAGAAGTTGAATCTTTCTACATCCAACCAAGAAATAGGCCTTATCTCCAAAGGGTTAGGAGATCTTTACACACAACCTTTTTGACTCCTTATTGAGTGTAAAATGGTTTGTGTGTAAAAGTGTATGTTACCGCGGGTCAAACATAATTTTACACTCCCACCCTTCCAGATTCTTGTGTGTAAAAAAATCAAGTGTAAAGCGATGAGTGTAAAAGTGTATGAGACCTACTCTGAGATACAATTTTACACATGATGTTTTGCATACCTTATTGTAGGCAAAAAAACTAGGGTGTAAAAATCAAATTTAGATGCCTGCACTCTAGTTTTGCACTTCAGGATGTTACACGCAATAAGGAGTCAATATGCCCGGAGGGCAAAAATCAATTAGTCTCCCCTGGACATGCAAATTTACACATGTCCAAGTCTCAAAAAATTTTGGACTTGGCAAAAAATGGCCAATATGTCCGCCTGCCACGTGAAGCCAATACGGCGTCGGCGGTCTGTTGCCTTTTCTCTCTCACCAGCGCCACAGTACCCCAATCTCACAAAATCTCACAAGCTCAGCATAGAGCTAAGTTGGTAGTCCACCGCTTAATTGGCCAATGTGCATTACATCCAGGCCCCCATACATAAAACAAAAACAAAGACCAAGAAGGAAAAAAAAGATGACTCCTGTGCTTACCTTCACATTCATTATCATCACAAAATCTTTGAAAAAACACAAACATAACAAACATTACACAAGCTCAAGTCATTTTTTCTTTCTCCCTTTAAGCTTAGGCTTGGCCTTTCCCTTTTACTCAAGATCTTCTTCCTTGACCACCTGTAAAGCTTTCTTATCTTTGGCCGCACCCTTCTTGACCTTTGGAACTTTCTGAGGTGACGGAGACTGCGATTTTGGGCGCTTGTTCACACAAAGGCGGACATTCAATGGCCCCTTCACGTTGGCTGTCAGCCCCCGAGCTTTGACCTTAGCAAAGCCAAAGGAGCTTCGAGGTAAACATACCCTATATAAAAATAATAAATATAAAAATACACATTTTATCTTCTTTTAATTGCTTGTGTTCCCGAAGCCCGCGGTGGTACTCTGAATTCCATTATCCGGAAGCAGTGTTAACCACAGGTGTGATTAGGCCGAGAGACCCGAACGAGTGACAGTCCCGACAGACCTGTCACAGGAGTTCGGGACTCTGGAAATTGAGAAGAGAGAAACAGAGTTTTTTCCTCTCTCTCAGCCAATTCCAGATCTCTCCTAATCCGCACCTGTAGTGTTCTCACAAGTCTATTCTAAAACAATTTAGTTTTAAAAGCAAGATTGCATTACATCCCAGATATAGACGATACATTCAACTAAAGAACACCTCCTTAACTTCTGCCCAACTGAAGCAGACACCCCAAAGCTAAAAACATCATTAAATGTGGAGACAAATCAAACCGAAGAAAACACCAGAAGTCTCGACGTCACAAAGAATGATTCAAGCCATCAGGAAAGCAGAAGAGGAGAAAAGGGAGAAAGCAAGAATAGAATTAGAACAAGCGGAGAAGAGAAGGAAAAGAGCTGAATCAAGAGGTCCGAGAATTCTAGCGGCATCAACGTCAACAGGACCAACCCTAGACCAACACAGTCTAGAACCTCCTATCCAACAAACGGAAGAAGACCGGAGAGAAGACGTCACTGGCAACCAGCCCCAGAGGATTGAACAGCCGGCTCACCTCGAAATCTCAGACGATTCAGAAGGAGACGCTAGAGAGGAACAATCAGAATCAAACGATTCAGAGACAGAAGAGGACACCTCGGAGAAAGAAGGAGAAAGACAGAAGAAGAAGAAAAAGGAACTTACGAAGAAGGGTAAAGAAAGGAAATTGTCAAGCTCAGAATCTTCAGCCGAAGAAGAGAGGGAGGAGAAGAAAGAAAGGAGGAAACTGTATGGATCCCTAATCAAGAGAGACCAAAGTAAGCATCAATTTCTGATAGTAAACAAGGAGGCAGACACGGAACACACGTTGTAGAAGCTGTTTCGACGCTCCAAGAATCCAGTGGCCTGAAGGGTTTCCTGCTCTTAACGAAAACGTAACCAGTGACAAGCTCCAGTAAGAAAAACTGTCGTAGCTCCTGGAATAGACCACTTCAACAGAAGAGCTCCAGTTCCTGAACTGTAGTAGCTAGAAGGTCTAACAGCTCCGAGTCAAATGTAGATGCAACAGCTCCTAATATCCATCAGAGATGCTAAAGCTCCATTGAACTTTCGTGACGCTAAGAGATCAGAAATTTCCTTCGTGAAACTAAAGAAATTGGCCAAGTAATAAGAAACTGATGCCGGTAAACTTATTTACTTGTGACGCACCAGGAAACCAGCAGTTGTCAGAACCTAAGAAACAACACAGGCCTGGCACGGCCCATCTGGAAAAATCGAGATCTTTAACGGACAGACTCGTCAACGCTATAGAATCAAATGACATACAGTCAGTGAGAAGCATCAGGATGGAGATAGACTCTTTTGAGAGAGAAGCAGAGAAGTCAAAGAAAAAAGGAGGTGAAAAAGAAAAAGAAAGATAGATCAAAGAAGCAAGAGAGAAAACGTGGGAAGAAGAATTCAAAAAAGTCCGGAAAGAAACGGAATTCCTCACCTCCCTCTTCATCGGAAGATTCATCCAGTTCCTCTTCATCCTCACCACAATCCTCCTCTGAAGCCGACACATCCTCCAGAAATTCTTCCTCTCGCCGACAATCTGACTCAGAACATCGCCAAACTGATTCAGAAGATGACTCTGACTCATCTGAAGAAGAAACATCAAAATCCTTCAAACCCCTAGTATTTGCAAGGAAACCTCTCTCAGGGTTTGACCTACCAGATCTACCCATCCAATGGGAGAAAAACTTTTGACGCATGAAGTACTATGTACCCCTAACCGTCTTCGACACGTCATACATCGACCTATACAAGTCCACTGGGAAGACGAAGGCAGGGAAAACCTCGTGGGACGGCCACCTTACGTCGAGGGAACAACTAGAACGTCAAATGACTTATGGTGAATTCATTCTTGCATGCGACCTCGAATATCGATACGCGAAAGAACGATACAAATACGGAGATTATGCTAAATATGTCGAACAACATAAGGAACTGGTCAGTATGCTAGCTAGGAAGCACAAGAACTGGATGGTAGCACTCCAATACCACTTGGCGATCAGAGCGGTCACCTTCAGAGTACGAACAGACACGCCGTATGAAAAATCAAAGAAGGGAAAAAGCAAGAAAAGAAAATCAGATGTGGTGATCTTACCTGACGGTTTACAGGAAGAAGCAGAAAGAGAAGCGAAGTGGGACGCTCAAACAGCGGGAGACCTGAAATTCAAAGGTAACCCTTACGCCCCAGGCCAGCCGAAATTTGGATTCGATTTCATGACGGGAGAAGAAAAGGAATCAACAAGCTACTCTCGACCGAAGAAGACCCAAATGGGCGACTCACCGGATGAAGGAGAGAAGAAAGGCAACTGGAGACAGAACAAACGGAAGAGAGCGGGTAACAGAGGGCACAGCACCCCATACTCAAAGCCCAACCCCAGTTACCCCACCTCCAGCTACCCCAGCCAACCGACCACCCAGTACCAGAAAAAGGAGAGTAACAGAGGGAAGGAATGGGTCGCGATGGGCCAACAACACGCTAACAACGTGGCGTCGGGTTCCAGTAGAGGAGGAAAGAAGGACCAAAAGGGTACAGGTGGAGCAGAACGGTAAGCGCTCGCACCATTACCAAGGAGAAGGATTGTACTAACGTTGTTTTTGACGATGGTGACATGGGGACAATCGTGTGATGGGTAATGGGAATGGGGAATTGATGGAACGGAATGGCTTGACTGGTATGACCTAATTCATTGTAGCTG